CCCCAAAACCCCAAAACCCCAAAACCCCAAAACCCCACTGATCAATAGTTATAAAGAATGAGAGATCTCAATAATCTAATATCTATTATAATATTTTGTAAAACTACTATTGATATGGGTTGTGGAGCAAGCAAGGGAAAGGCAGACGCTGAGCCAGACATTTCAGAAATGACCTTCAAACCTGTCGGAGTTCAGTCTATGGATGACTTTTTCGATAAAGCCAAAGAAACCTTAGATAGTTTTAAGGATATTACAGGGCCTCTTGGAGAGGAAAAAGATGCATTCTACGAGGCAACTGGATTCTACGAAGTACCAGGCGCTGAAGTCAAGCACGCATTCCTCGGTATGTTTTACTCCTTGGTTTCCTTAGTGAAAGGTGACATAACCGCACTTGGAATCGAATGGAAAGCTGGGGCACCAATGGTCGAGGTAAGAACTGACTAAATTCAGGGAACAGGAGTCACAATCTATGAGTCTTTTGTCAAATATGCGGAAGCACTTGAAAAATGCGTCACAGAACAGATGCCACCTGTGCTCCAAAATGCACAAGCTTTACCTAGTCAAGCTGAGGAGGCAAGAAGCAACGCTGAATCAGAGTTCAGCGAGCTTGATATTATGAAGAAAGGAAAGGCTTTATTAGCTACTACCTTCAACATTAAAAATTTAGGAAAGATACCCGCTTTCATTAAATCATCCATTGAGGGATTCAAGGGTGATCTGAATGAACTCAAGGATGCTGTTAACGAGCTCAAGATGAATTTACCAAAGGTAAAGACTGCAGGTGCAACTTGCGCCTAGAATGATGTATCAGACCCAGTTGGGTGTTACAAACTAATTCATGGTCCAATTAAATACACTCAAGAGTAAAGAACTGAGTGGGAATCTAAGATGCAGGAAAGAGCTGACAAATTAGGCATCAGATTCTATCCAAATGATTACCCCTTAACTGATTTGATTACAGCCCCAGCTGCTGGAGCTTAATGAGTTTGCAATGACAGTAGATGTCTTGCCCTATCATAATTGAGTATTTGCTGATTTATATGATTTTTTAAATTTTTATAAGAAACCTTTCTCGAGAATTGCCATTTTACTTTTCCTATTTTTTCTCTGGGCATTTTCTGATGACTGTATATTTTACCGATTAATATTTCAGCTACCACTTTCAAAATAAAAAAAATCTTATTGATGGGGTTTTGGGGTTTTGGGGTTTTGGGGTTTTGGGG